TATATGTACAAGTTGCACTGTACGTGTCGCTGCACTTCCATTCGCATATATATATATATATACAGTTACACACATAATAATAATACATCATATACAAATCCGCCCCACTCATGCCACAATGAGGGCCATCTGCCATGGTCCGTGCCATGGTCCGACCTGGTTCGACTCTGAACCAGCCAGTCCCCTGCCAGCTTTCTCTCCGCCACTTCGCTCCGCCTCTTCAGGAATCGATTTCACAAGCCTTGGAGCGAAGCGTGGAGCGACCCATCGAGCAAAACCGGGCAAAAGTGGACCAAAAGAATACAAAAGGGGCAAGTGTCAGGCATAGCACTGGCCAAGTTAGGTCGGTTGGGCCCTGAAAATTTGAAATATATATGTAGGGTGGAAACTGCGCATGGTTTGTGGTAAGAGGCTTTGGATGGCTCTTGCTTCGGCCGTCAAATGCTCCAAGAAGCTAAGAAGCTGTGGGTTAGTTCAAGCAACTGCTGACCATGGCAGCTAGGGCATACTCTAGCCAATCTGAGCCGAGCAGGGCTGGCGAAGCACAACCATGCAAGTCCTAAGCATGCTGGACGCTGCGTTTTGAATGTTTGACCTTTGAAGATGCTGAGCCAAACTGATCAAAAATTATCAAAGACCTGTTGTGAAGCTATCCTCAGCCAACCACTAATCCAGCTCACACCACTCGGGACCTTAAGAAGCACCTCTAAGCAGTCCAAAGGTCAAGGTGGATCCCCAGATCTATGTTTTCTACCCGTTTCTACCAGATTCTATTCTGATTCAGGACTCCGTCCATCAGCCATACGCTGACATACCTTACCCCGCCTCATTGTAGCAATCAAACTCATCCATCGGCACATGGTATGGATTGAACGCGCTGCGCACCTGCACTTTTACAGGGACGACGCAAAGCAGTTCATGCGAAAGACATTTTTTGGGTGATTGGTGACGTGGTCCAAAATGGAGGACGCTCAGGCTCTAGGCATGCTATAGACACTATATAGACTATAGACTATAGACGTGGTCAGGACGTGCTGGGCGGTTTTTTAACATGTTTTAACCAGGTTTGGCACCCCGGCCGGGTGACAAACGGTTTTTGAGACCCAGGCCGACTCATGGGTGAAGACCGCATCGTGTCCTCCGAACCTCACCGTGCGCACAGTCAACCTATACTAAGATTTAACAATCATTGACAGGAGTATAGAAAGGGACTGAGAGCACCAAATCTCCCTGATTGGTATTCAAGGATTCATGAATTATCTTGACCATGTTTATTTGGGCTGCCATTTCATGGCGCCAGGAGTGCTGGCCACTGGCCCTCACATAAAGTGTCCTTGAGAAAGCTCCCTGAGATTTGAGGGAATATTAGAATCAAATTAATTCTAATAGCTTCTTGTTACTAGTAGTAAGGCACTTGTTC